TAGGTTGCCCCCTCGTGTCCAAGAGGCTGGGATTTGAGGTGCAGTGAGAGGCCTGTCCTGCCCCATAACCCACAGGGACTCGGCAGTTGAGGCCTTTGGGCGTTCCCTCCTGGCCCTCTTCCTCTGTGCCCCGGGGCTTATGCATCAAACACTGGCTGGGGGGGCCCACATGGGTTCTGGGGCCCCTCCCCCCTGTGCCTGCCCCACCAGCTTGCCCGCCTCTCCTCTCACCGGACCCTCTAATGAAAGCCTTAGCGCCAACCAGCCCTGGGTGAGTAAGAGGCCAGGGGCCTCGACGGCTGGTCTGTGCAGGGAGGAGAGACTTGGAGACGAAACAAGGAAGCTGGTGGGCCCGGGAGGGAGATGCCAGGCCCCTGAGAGGATGGGGATGGTGACATCCCTTACTGAGCAGGGGCACGGCTGGGGGGCGGGGGCAGCTTCAGGACAGACGAACACACCCAGTCTGAGCTGAAGAGGTGGAAGGGGCAAAGGGCCCCGAGAGAATTGGAGGACAGTGGCCTTTGGGGGTCATCCGAGGAGCCCCCAAAGGATCTCCCAGACAAGCCCAACCCCAGCGTGGTGTTTCACCTCCAGGTAACCAACTAAGGGCCCTGGGACCTGCTTATCACCTCTCTGAGGTCCCTGCTGCACCGCCCCTCTCATCTGAAAGGTCCCCTGGGCCTTAGCCGGTTTGGCTCAATGGATAGAGCGTCCGCCTGCGGACTGAAGGGTCCTGGGTTCAGTGCCGGTCAGGGGCACATGCCCAGGTTGTGGGCTCAATCCCGTGTGGGGCGTGCAGGAGGCAGCCGATCAATCAATGATTCTCTCTCATCATTGATGTTTCTCTCTCTCTCTCCCTCTCTCTTGCTCTCTGAAATCAATAAAAGTATATTTTTAAAAGGCCCACCTGGCCCTGGACAGCAAGGCTTAGGGAGAGAGATGGAGAGGGGGCAGTGGATGGGAGGGGCTCTGGCTGGCCGGGAGGGGGCCCGGACAAGGGTGGCCCGACTCCTGGTTCACTCAACTGTTCACCACCCACAGGACCTGGGCCTCGAGGGGACCCTCCTCACCGCCACCCTCTACTGGAACGTGGCATCCTCGATCTGGTGGACCCCATCTCCCACGACCTGCTGTGACCCTGGCCCGGGACCTGCAGTGGCCCAAGAGGGTGAGGCCGGTGGACAAGGCCCTCAGGTGAGGTGGTCTGATTGGCAGGGGGCAGGGGAGGCCGGGGCCGGGGGCTAGGAGCCCGGGCCTCATGGGCTTGCTGCCGGGCCTTGGGCAGGTCATTGCCCCTCTCTGGACCTGGTGCCAGTTTCAGGGCGTTAGGCTGTGTTTTTCCAGCCCTGAATAGGCATGTGCTGGGTCAGCCTGAGGCAAGCACCGTGCCCAGGCCCTGAGGCCCGGCAGGCAGTTGTATGGGATGCTGCGGGCGGGACACAGAAGGTCCTGACCCCACTCCCAGCCTCCGCTCCTGGACCGGAGAGCCGCCCTCCCCACCCTCAGGTCAAGGGCTCACTGCTTCCCGCAGCACGGAGAGCCACAGGCAAGTCCCTCCTCCTGGTGAGTGGCACCTGCTACCAGCAGCCTCCCCCGCCCCATGCACCCCGTCTTCCCAGAACCCGGCTCTGAGAGCACCTGCAGACATCCCGCCATGAGCATAGGAGGTGCCAGGCTCCTGACACAGCCTATGGCCGGCCCCACCCCCACCCCTTAGTCCCAGTGAGTCCCACGTGAAACCGGGCACCCGTCCCGCGCCCTGCCGGCTCCAGAACTCCCACGTCTCTACGCAGCCATCGCCAAGGAGGCGGAGGTGGCCTTGAGCCTTCGCAGTGACCCCTGGGGCTGGCAGCGCCGTGTGCGCACGCTGGGACAGACCTGACAGAGAACTCGTGGGTGGGAGCGTGCCCGGTGCCAGCCTCGGGAAGCAGGGCACCGTTTCTGCCCAGGCTGGGCCTCTGCGGGGGCGGGGGGTCCTGCACCATGTTACCCTCCCAGCGCCGGCAGCCCAGACCCCGGCCCGGCCCCGCAGGCGTGGCTCGAGGGAGAGTGGGGGGAGCAGAGCGTGCTGACCTGGCTCGTTCCTAGCCTCTGGGGGTGGCGTCAGGGGAGCGGGGCTCCCTGGAGGGGCTGGTCCTGCCTCCCCTGGGAGAGTCCCCGGGGAGCGCGGAGGGTGGGCAGCGAGCCGGCTGATAGCCTGAGATGCTGGCTCGGGGCCTGAGGACAGGGAACAAGGGCCCATTGTCCGGGCTTCCTCCCGCCGGGCACTGCGGGCCTCAGACCAGCCGGCTCAGCTCCCGCGGGCAGCCTCCCGGGCTCAGTGCCAGGCCATGGCCGGGTCGGGGTGGGCAGGGGAGACCGGTGGGCAGCTCAGGGGTCCACCCGTCCCGCGCCCTGCTCCCCCACACACTTGGATCCCCAGGGCCCCGAGGGGGTGGGAGGATGTGGCCTCACCCTCACAGCGCTGTCCCCCCTCAGGACTCATCTACCACCTCACCCCTCACTCCAGGTGGCAGCGAGGGGCCAGCCTGCCCCCCAAGAAGACCCCGAGCTGGTAAGGGGAGGCCAGCCTGCCTCCCTCCCGCCCCGCAGGGCCCCTCCTAGGGCTGATGTGGAGAGGCGGGGCCAGCCCTGGGGGAGCACCAGGCGTCTCATCTCGCAGAGACGGAAGCCTGACACCCTGCCCTGTGGGCCGACCCCCTTATCTCCATCGTGGTCCCAACCCTGGAGGCCAGTCCGGCCGAGGGCAGCAGACACTCCCCACGCCAAGCTGCACGCTCCGTATGACCTGCTATTCACTCCCCGAGGCCTCCATCTCTGGCCTGGCCCCTGACCAAGCTGACCGTAGCAGGTGTCAGCTGAATCGCAGTGGACAGGCTGTGAGGGAGACAGTTCTGGGTGCGATTCCCATTTTACTGAGAAGGAAACTGAGGCAAAGTGGCTTGCCCAAGGCCAACCCCTGCCCCCTGCCCCCGGATTTTCCTGCATCCCTCTGGGAATTCGGTGCCAGGCGTTTACAGCTGGCCTGGTAGCTCACTCTGCCGTGCGTCCTCCTGTCACTCACTCCATCACAGCCCAGGAACAGGCACCTGAACACAGCCCTGGGCTGTGCGGCTGCTAGACCAGGGTCCGAGCCCAGGCCTGCTGCACCAGGTGGCTTGCCCCAGCCCGGCTCCTGCTACCTGCCTGGCGGTGCTCCCAGCACATGGGATGGGGTGATGGAGGCCCCGGAGGTACCCCAGGCCCCTAGGCGTCCGGTACTCAGCCTGGGGTCGAGGGGATGGAAGGAGGAGGGGCTCAGCAGAGGCTGGTCGGCCCAGCACGCTGTGCAGACCACCTAATAAAGGGGGTGCTCCCCCTGCCTCAGCCTTTCCGCATCGTGGACACCCTGCTGCGGGGTGGGGAGAGGGGGAGCCAAGCACTCAGGGACCCTGCCCGTCCAAAAGGGAGGGACCAGCCCGACCAGCATGGCTCAGTGGTTGAGCGTCGACCTATGAACTAGGAGGTCACAGTAGGATTCCCGGTCAAGGGCACAGGCCCGGGTTGCAGGCTCAATCCCCAGTCGGGGGCATGCAGGAGGCAGCTGATCCATAATTCCCTCTCATCATGGATGTTTCTATCTCCCTCTTCCTCTCCCTTCCTCTCTGAGATCAATAAAAATTTTTTTTTTTAAAAAAAGGGAGCGACCAAGCCCACACGGACACCCAGGTGTAGGGGTCAGGCCCATCTGTGGGCTGGGGAGTTAGAGGAGGCCTCACATCTGGGCAGGACTCAGAGCGGGGCCCACAGCAAGCGCATGCCTCAGCCCGGCTGCTGCCAGGAGGCCAGGCTCGTCTCCCACTG